GCTGCCATAGCCCTGATGGTCAAAGATGCTGATAAGTTAACCTTGGGCCAAGAACTGCATGTAACCACCCCCCATGCCATTGAAGGGGTTCTAAAACAGCCTCCAGATAGATGGCTCAGCAATGCCCGACATTATTGCCTGACCCAGACCTAGAGGCCCCGCTGCACGACTGAGCTGACATCTTGGCTCAGGTACACGGGACTCGAGAAGATCTGAAAGATCAGCCATGGCCAGATGCTGAAGATACCTGGTACAACGATGGGAGCAGCTTTGTTCAGGATGGCCAAAGGTATGCAGGGGTGGCTGTGGTCACTGAGACTGAGGGTGTTTGTGCTGAACCCTTGCCCACTGGAACGTCAGCACAGCAAGCAGAGCTCATAGCATTAACCAAAGCACTGACTCTGGGAAAGGGCTGAAAGCTAAATATATAAATTCTTGCCCTACTGGCAACCCTATGGCTGCCAAAGAAATTGGCTATTATCCACTGTCCCGGGCACCAAACTCTGATTGCCCAAGGAAATAATTTAACCGACCAGACAGCTCGAAAAATAGCCCTAGAAGCTGATCTGACCCTGACCATTCAGCTGCCTGATACAGGGGGTGCTGCCTTACCAGAAACTCCCCAGTATACCGAGGCAGACTTAAACAACTGCCCATGGCCCAATGCCTAAAAAGATGGTGGAGATCATCTGACTGTAGAGTCATCCTGCCTGAAGCACTGGGAGAACAAGTTCTCTCCAAAATGCACCGGGCCACCCACATGGGCACTCGAAAAATGCAAGACCTCCTGAAATTGAGCATATCGTTGCCACCTGCAAAGCCTGCCAATTGACAAATGCTACTCACAATAAAGCCAACCCAGGCAACAGATTGAGAGGAAACCGACCCGGCGTATACTAGGAATTGGACTTTACTGAGGTAAAACCTGGAAGGTATGGTTACAGGTACCTGCTAGTTTTTGTAGACACTTTCTCAGGATGGACAGAGGCCTTTCCCACCAAACATGAGATGGCACAGATTGTGGCTAAAAAGTTACTAGAAGACATCTTGCCAAGATGGTTTCCCAGTAATGTTAGGGTCAGACAATGGACCTGCCTTCATTTCCAAAGTGAGTCAAGGTTTAGCACAGGTACTGGGGGCAAATTGGAAATTACATTGTGCTTACAGACCCCAGAGTTCAGGGCAGGTAGAAAAAATGAACAGAGCTCTAAAAGAGACCTTAACTAAATTAACCTTAGAGACTGGCGGTGACTGGGTGATTCTCCTTCCCTTTGCCCTCTATGGGGTACGCAATTCTCCCTATAAGATAGGACTAACTCCCTTTGAAATCATGTTTCGGGTGCCCCCTCCCATTAAAACTGTTGTCTTCCTTACAAAGCCTCCAGTGTGTCCACAAAGACATCTGGCCTAAATTAAAGGCCCTGTTCGAGTCCGGACCACCTCCCGAGCCCCATCGCTACTGGGTCTTTGTCCGGAGACATCGACGGAAGGACCTTGAGCCTCGTGGAAAAGGACTCTATGTTACTGTCCTGACCACGCCCACCGCTCTCAAGGTCGACGGGATTGCCTCATAGGTACACTACACTCACGTCCGCCCCGCAGATCCACACGCCGTTCTAGAGGATTACATCCCTTCATGGCAGGTGTCCAAAATCCGTGACAATCCTCTCAAGCTCAGACTGCGTCGTCGACGGTCATAATTATGAAAAGACTTTGTGCTGCCCTCTGTAAAGAGTGTTGTTTATCTCTTCTCTACTGGGCCCCTTGCTTAACCCTTGGAGAACGTGTTAGCTCTGTACAATTAATGGTGCTTAGGTCCCAGTAGATTTAACCCCCCAAGACCCATGATTGGGCCTCTAGAGTTACATGTGAAGGGGGGAATGTGAGACCTAAAACCACAAGATGTACTTTGCCCACCTGCTTGTGATAAGTGTTCAGCTGTCCCCTGGCAACAGCTACCCCAAAGTCCCAGGTGTAACCGTTTGCAGCTTGGGTACACAAGGCACAACCAATCAGGTTTAACTGCCAATCTAGAACCTTGCTGTAACTACTATAAAAACCCCTGCTGATTTGGAGTCAGGGCTCTCAATCTTGACCCGCTGTGGCAGTGATGGTTGGGAGTCCCTGCTCGAGCTTAAATAAAGGACCCTCGTGTGTTTACATCGGAATCGGCTCCTTGGTGGTCTTTGGGGACCTCGAAATCTGGGCACAACAGGTACAATTCCCAATAAGAAATGTAATTGTGTTGTATACCTAAAATATACCAAAAAAAGAATTTAACATTAAAAAAAAAAGAGTTATGTTGGGGTGGAGATTTAGTTCAGTGGTTCTGCCTCCTGCCCCGCAAGCTCAAGGACTCGAGTTTGATCCCCGATAACAAAAACAGAAAAATAGAAAAAAGGTGAGTTATGTTTTATTTCCACACTGTGGCATCATTGGTATCAGCGCTAGGGTTTCCAAAAGATCTTCATCCAGCCCTGCTGCCCTCTCATTTCTGCAGTCATCAGAAGGCACCAGTGGTCGTCAGAAACAAGGCTCACGGCCCTCTGAGTCAGTTTTTCGTTTGTTTTGGTGGAGGGGGAGGGGCAGCGAGGGAAACGTTTTCTTGATCGTGAGAGGCTTTTTCTATGCTAAATCCGTAGCAGGTGGCCAGGGCGCAGCTCCACTTGCCAGCCCTGCAAGTCTCTTGCCAGGGGTCCAGGTTGCACATTGCCCTGTACTGCGCGTTTCCCTGCCAGAGCCGGAGCGGCCAGATGAGCAGGGAGACCAGGAGGCCCGGGTCCCTCGCCGAAGCTGCGCCCGCCGTCCCCAACCCTAATGATCCGAGACATCGGCGCAAACACTGTGGCCAGGCTCCCAGGCGACTGGCACCCTCGACCTTCATTTGCAATCACAAGGACCTGGGGTGGGGGAGGGCAGCAGGCGGAGCCCAGGCCCGGCTGAGACTCCCCTAGCCGGATCCTCAGTAGGGGCTGAGCCATCGGCCCCCAAACACCTGCCCAGGTGAGGCGGGACTGAGACAGACCGCAGCTCCTGGGTCCTCAAGAGTCCGTGTGCATGATATGAACAGGACACGCACACACACACACACACTTTCTCCCTCTCCCTCTCCCCCCTCCCCCCACCCTGGCTAGGGCCCAGCTTGCACTCAGTCAACCACACACACCGGGGGGTAATGATCAGGCCCCAGGCAGGACCAGCTGTTCTGCAGCTCTGCCAGGAAGGCAGAGGCACCAGGGGAAGATGTGCCGACCTCCAGCTTCCATCCTGTCACACCATTTCCTGACTCCTGAAACCCCCCACTGAAAGTCAACCCCAAAGCAGAGGGTCCTGGCATAAACTTCTTACCATCAGAGAGGCGACTGCCCCATGTCCTGCAGAGAGGCAGTGAATTGTAACCAAAAGATGAAACCATGCACAGGGTGCAGCTCCCAGAGCAGCCACTGCAGGAAAGGGCCGCCTGCTCCTGAGATGTCACGGCCAGGTTGCTTTGCCTTTCCAGTCACCATCATTGCCCCTTCCACCTTCATTCACCTGGTCCAGCCATCTGGTTTGCACACCTGATGTTACACATTTGTCTGTTTCTTGCCTTGGCCTCACCTGACTATTCTGCCAGCACCTGCAACAGTATGCAGCCTACAGAAGACATAATAAAGTGGTGGACACTGTGACACCAGCAGCCTCTGCTGAAGAGAGCTGCCTGGCCCAAGGTCACACAGCTCATCCCAGGCTGGCCCGCACCATTGGGTTAATGGAGGTCCAGCATCTAGGCCCAACTCAGGACCATTCTGAAGGGCAGGTGGAGCTCCGGAACCCCCTGTGAGGTTGGTGATCGGACGCCTCTGCCTGCTCCTCTGCACCTGCTCACTCCTTCTCACACGTGTCAGTCCAAGGGCTCTCTGCAAACAGCTCACAGGACAAACTCAGCCTCGGTCTGCATCCCAAGAAACCAAATCACAGCAGTAAATATCTGTGTGATGGGAGGGGAGGTTGACCATTGTTTATCACCTCCTACATCCTAAAAACACAGCAAATCTGTCTTTTTCTTTCCACATCCACTGCCACCACCACTATTAAAGCCATTCTCCTCTCTCATTTGACGCCCCGTGTGGCCTCCGCAGCAGGTGCTGTGGCTGTGCTGCCCTGCCCTCTGCTGAACTCACCTGCACCTGTGGGGAGGATGGCGGCAGTGAGTGCTGGCTCCACACCTCCGGTGGCTTCTCACCCTGAGGCCCCGTTCTGCACCGCAGGAGCTTGTTCAGCCCCTGAGCAGGGCAACCATGTGGGTCCAGAATTTAACATCCCCAAGGACACTCCTCAGCTGAGAGCAAGAGTCAAAACAGACAATACCGACCTCCCCTCAGAACGATGCCCCACCAGGTGGCCTGAGTCCTAGCTGCCCACAGTGCTCACCTGCTCACTATTCACTGTGCATTTATCACCTTTGCCCTCTTATTTCCCACATGCCCTCATGTGAGCTTCCCTAATAACACCCACCTGCGCCCACCTTGGCCCAACTGACTGGGATGTGTCCCAGACAAAGTCTATTTATACCTATTCTTCAGTATATTGGAAGAAAAAGCAGACATACGGGGGTGGGGGTGGGGAAATCTCACATTTATCGAAGGCTTTATTATGTGCCAAGGCCTACATTAAGCATTATTTTGACTTTAATACAACAATCCTATCAGGAAACTACTTTTATTATCCATCCCATTTACTTATATAAGGAAACTGAAGTTTCCTGAGGTCAAATGACTTATCCAAGACCACCCACTGAGGAAGTGAAAGAACTGGAAATCAGGCCCCTTCCATTTCTAGGAGCCCTACCCCACTTCCCACCCACCCCCTCCTCCCTCTCCCCACCCCTCACACACACACACACATTCCACATCACACCTGTCACCATTCCATGGTTATATAGAGAAGTGGGTAGAAAGCGGTATGTTATCCCTTCAAGAGCACTTACAGTTTTAAAGTGGGTCTAGAGGAGGCAATACTAAGCCAAGGGAATAGATGTGCTCTACCTTAGAGCATCTCAACTAGTTATAAGATAATTTGTGGTACTAACAATGAAACACTAAATTGTATCAGCTACTTTTTGGAAAACTATACTACAGTAAACTCAGAATCTGTCTGAAGCAGCGTTATGGTCCCTTGAACTCCAAATGCCTTCCTGAATGGAAGAGAGAAAGTAGCACGACAGCTATTCACTGAGAGCTATGTAACCCACAACCTGTTTTTCTTTTGGCACAATCTAAGAGAGTGATTATGACTGGTATATTATGAGAGTTGTGGCATTTGGGAAATATTATAGCATTTACTTTCCCCCAATTTATTTTAGACTTCATCAAAATCTGAGTGTCCCCATGAGAATTTGTTCCCCTGCATAGGAGCATCATCCATCATCCACAAAACTACAGCACAAAGGGCACTTTGCCAAGACACACAGGACACCTTGACACTAGGTGAGATACTCCCTGTCTTTATTCAAATCCTCAAGCCTTGCCTCTCTATGAACTCTTCCTCCACCAGTGTGAGAGAATGCTCCCATCATACACCAAGGCCAAGTAAACCAGCAATGGGAATGACCAATACACAAGGTTGCTCCTCGATGTAAAAATTCATTCACTTATTTATGCATTCACTTATTGAATGGCTATTTAGTGAAAATACATACAAGGCATAGTACTCTGCATTGGAGTTAAAGGGCTAATTTCACTAAATCTGTTGTCTGCCTTCATAATGACTATAGTCTCAAAGATGATGATACCCAGACTATCAGATTCTGTTGGAAAGAGAGTATCAGATGCCAGCCTAGCTCTCCAGAGTGTTCACTCATTCATTCAACAAATATTAAGTGAGTCTGATGGTGTGCCAGGACAAGAGAAAAATCAGGTATGATCTCAAAGTACAGATGTGAGCAGAACGCAAATATGTCATGGGAAGGTCTACAAAGTTGAATCATGATGTCTAAGCATGTAACATTTGTGCGTGTTTTATACAGCAAGATGGGGAAGAGAGAAAAATAGTCAAAGAACACAGTAAGCACTGCCCAGCACTGATGAGTCAGGAGAAGTGAAGCTAGTCAACCTTCACTTTGATCCAGTTCCATGGGCCACTCTTGGCATGCTCACTGGCCACCTCATTTATTATTAAATCCATTTATTATTAAATACAGATGAGTTTTTTTCTTCATGCAAGGACCCTAAACTCAAGCCAATTGCTTATCTGGTAAGCAGTCAAAGAAACAGGAATCTCTCTCCTCTCTGGCTAGGTTGTACTTGTGGACAGGAGGTACTTATGGACAGGAAGGTACTTATGTCCTAGGTAGGTATCTGAACCACTGAGAGAGGTAGCTATACCACAAGAGGCAAAAGTGTGACTCCTGGGCAAGCCAGACATATGGCATCCCCATTTCAGGGCCACTTGAGGGGTTTTTATTTATTTATTATTTAATCTGAAGACAGTCTCACTATATAGTTCAAGCTGGCCTTAAACTCACACTATGTAGCCCAGGCTGACCTTGAATTTACGGTGGTTCTCCTGCCTCACCTCCTGTGGGCAGGGATTACAGTTGTATACTACCATGCCAGCTTGAAAAGACTTTTTCAGAGCAAATAATGTTTGTTTTTACAGGGGTTACATTGAAGAACATTTTCTAGCTTTTATTTTAATTTTGTTTCCTTTTAAGTAGATTAAGCTTGATTATTCAAAAAGAATGTAACGGTAAGACCTCTCATAGTCCTGTCCTCAACCTCTCAGTTGCCCGGAGGCAACTGATGTTACTGATTCCTGGGAGTCCTCCAAGAGATGTTTTATGTATATACAAGCAAATTTATATATTTACACAAATAATAGCTCAGTATTCACACTGTTCTGCATTTACCCTATTACAATGTATATTTATAATATACAAGAGATAATTCCATATTGATATGATAAGCTTTCTCCTAATATATGATGCAAACTATTTCACTACTGACATACTCAATATATTCAGCAGTCTCCATTGAGGAATATAGTTTGCTTCCCATCTTTTGCTGCAATAAATGACCCTAAGTACATGTCATTTTGCAGGAATGCGTGTTATCAGTAGGACAAATTCCTGGAAGTATAATTGCTGAGGCAAAGGGCAAATGCACATTCAGTTAGGATTCTGTTTGGTTACTCATAATAAAGAATCCAAAATAACAGTTATTTACACATGGGACC